GTTATATTTTACACTAGAATGCGAGCGGTTCGAGCAAGCGATGCACGTCTCTGCATTATGAACCTTATCGTGAGTCGTTTGTTAGCCACGAATATTCGTAAAAAAGTAGCTATACTCACTTGTTTGTTACTAAGGCTGATCTCTTTTGCTTCATCTTTCTTTCTTCGTTGCCTTGCTTAGACACTCTAGTAAAGTGATTAAGAAAGATAGATGAAACCACACAGATCATCATTAGCAACAAATCAGTTAGTATGCCATGTTCGTAGTCAACAGGCGAATTGTGAAAAAGATTTATCCCTACTGCATACTTCTTTTTATAATAACAATAAAACCAAACATTTCTCAGTGGGGAAAAATCTGAAATTGTTTACTTTACTTGCGGGAAAAACTAGAACTATAATTGCACAACCTTGCTCACATCAAGAAATATATTCAAACTTTTCTATACTATAAAACTGTTTTGCGATTATTTGTTTCCTTTTATTTAAGATGAATCTTCTTAAATATGCTTCCACTCATCAACCATTAGTTTAAAAGTATTTTTTTTCTCAATTAAGAAATGAATATAATTAAACTTTCTTCTTTCCAACAACCTATTTTTGATTGTTCATTTCCTTCTTTAGAAAAGAAGACAATCTAATTTGTTCTTTTTTCAAAAGTCTGTTTTTCAATTGTTTTGTTTTCTTTATTAGAGAGGAATATGATTAAAGTTGTTTTAGCCCAAAAAAACCTTTTTCATTTATTCTTTCCTGCCCTTAGAAAGGAATATGAAGAACATCGTTTTATAAAAAAAATTATTTTTTCATTTGTTTTTATGCGTTCTTGTTAAGGAATGGGTAAAAAATTTTTTCAGAAACTCTTTGTGCAAATGGTTTCTTTCTTTTCTGAAAGATAGAATATGATGAAACTTTTTATTTTTCAAAAGCCAATTTTCGAATTTGTTTTGTTAAAATATCCTGTTTTTGAAATTATATCTTTTCTTTAATTTCAAAGAAATATGCTTAAAAAAATCAACACACTCGAAATAATCGAAGCACTAATCAAATCAGTGCAAAGTGGATAATAATTGATAACAATAAATTATAATAGCTTCATAATTGGCTCTTAATCGGTTAAGATCAATATCTAAATGATTATAATCAATTGTGTTTGGTTTTAATCGATTTTTAATCAAAACTTTATCGATCATAATCTGATTTTTTCCGTATTTTTTTCATATAAGCAAGAAGTAATATTTTATTTCTCACAAAATATATAAAAAAAACCTAATGCTTAACTGTTTTTGCTTAATCATGAAAACATGCTACTTACTCTTAGTAAAATGAGATGGCAACTGACATTAATAGTTTAAAGAGAAATACAGCGGACTATTTAAAAGAAATCATTAGTTAAAACAATGAGACGCATGAATTTCTTTTCTGTTCGTTGCTTTTTCTTTCTGTTGCAAAAATGAAAAGAAGTAACAGACCAATCGAATGCAACAGTATTGCTGTCATGGATGTAGCGAAGCATTCGCCAGCTGCTAGACGTTTTTTAACATCAATGGCATTGTGTCTGAAAGCATCTATAATTGCGAAAACAAACAGTAATACTATCATGTCTCTATTTCCGATAGTAATTACAATAATGGACAATAAGACAACAGAACGAAGACAGACAGAGAATATTATTTATCTAACATATTTCATATAAAAAGATTGCTGAACTTCATCTTCTGATGGAAAGAATTTTTTGTTTTTTTCATTTGCACACTTATTCTCACAATGGTGAAATCACGATTAATGCTTTTCTTTTTCAAATGATAATTTAACTGATATATTGTCATGCATGGATATTACATGGTGTGTTATGATGAGAGAAGAAGACAGTATTGAGGAGCACCTCTATTTATTTTCTGAATGTCGGAAACTTTCTATTTTGCTGTAGTGCAGGTGAAATATTTTCTTTTCTACATTTATTCGTTGCTAGGAGAATGTCTCATTGAGAATCCTTGTCCCTCAACATGACGAGCTTTCTTTAGTCTTGTTCAGATTGGGACAGCTCTCGTGACATATGATTTAAGAAGTTGAAAATGTAAGCTAACGGTCATTTCGAAATCACTCTTTGAGCATGTCAGAATTTAAGGAACACAATATATGTTCTTTCATCATTATTTCTAGATTCAAAATACTATCATTATTAGAGTTCAGTTGGTGAAAGTTCTAAATTGGTGATTTCAATCGTTTAAATTAATGTCACTTTTCATAGAGTTCTATACGTGTGCATCAGATCAACAACGGAAGTAGTGCAGATTCATTTCAAAAACATCTTAGCAACAATGGTTGATATGATCGTATGTAGCTTAAGAAACTTGTCAAAGATTATTCTTGGATATGCGTATCATTTGCATTGTGGTTCTTCTTATTTGCTCTTGATGTGCTGCAATAATCTGTTACACGAAGATGTGGAGTTTAGAAATTTTTATTTTATTCTTCATCATAACATATCGAAAGGCAATAAATCATGTAGTTCTATTCACTTCATTTGACAAATGAGAAGGTTTGTTCAGTGTGAATCTTTTTCACAGGCCTCTCCAATGCAACTGAATTTTGCCAACGATTATTTTACATACTGAAGTAAAAAAAAAACTCATTAAGTTTTCTCAAATTGCTTACGTTTCTCGAATAATCATAAAAGAAAATATTATTCTTTCTCTCGCATTTTATAATTAATATGAAATGTTTCTTGATAATAGAGTCAAGTTGAAAAAGAAAAAGCTTGTTAGCGCAGCTCCTTCGAAGCTAAAATGTGGAACTCGCATATATCCTTAAATTTTAATATTCTAATGCATCATATGTAAACTGAAAAATTTCTCGAACACTCAAGTTGTTTTCATTGATAATCGATGATAAAAGCGAGACTTTGTTATTTATTTCTACATTTAAAACAGAAATTTTTTCTTTTTGTTTGAGAGCGCCCGATTTCATTTAAAACTGTTGCTATGCACTCGATATTAGTCATTTTTTTGTTTTTTCTTTTTAATTTAACATTATTATTTTTCTTCACCATCGACTATCTCATAAGTCAGACTGTTATAATAGTGCACCATACATGTATATGCATTAGTAGCTCTTACTGTACTACTATATATCTGAATCAACTCATAAATGATAATATCGTTTATTTTTTAAACTGATAAAAGGATCGAATTATGCTTTTCATGTTGATTATGTGATTGCTATGACAGATCAATCTATTACTACTCTTTATTCTTCATTTTGTAAAATACAAGCTTAAATTCTAAAAAAATTCGATGAGTTCGCTATTAAGAACTTTAATAAATATGTTATAGTTTTTCAAATATTAATGAAGGCGTTGAAATATTGTATAGCAGTCGAGCTCATATTCTTTATACTATTCAACTCCTTTTTTTTAATTAATAAATAAATCTGACGCCTGTTATTCTTAATTGCTAAGGTCTGCGATGAAGAGTGTCTGTAATGGGAAGGGGTGAGGGAGGAAGCCGTCAAAACTTGAACTTACAACTTACACTCAATATTTTCTTCGAAAATATATGTGAGTTCCACAAAAATACCTATGAGAACGAATCTACGGGCAGATGGTTAGAGAGAAACTCTTATTGACAAGAAATCATTTCTTTTTTGCCCACACTGAATAATGGAAAAAAAGTGATGAAGAACGGAGAAGAATATTCTATCAAATCCTTTTATGAATTCGACAACACATTTCTATTTCCATGAAAATACAATCGTCAATAAAGTTCAAAATTCAGATTTTTAGGGTATGGATGTGGGTGTGGGGTATGGGTGTTAATGTGGATTAAGAAATAGGACAGATCCACACGCACACCCACACCCTTCGGTTTGACATTTTTATGATGAATTTATATCACATGTTCTATCCATATAAAAGCTGCTTTTTATTTTATTTATCTTTTGAATGTGTGATTTATTTTGATGATTATATAAATTTTTTTTCATTCATATATATAATCCTGAACAAAACTTACGATCATGACAACCAAATCAACAGAGATTATTGTAGTTACGATAGAGAGACATAGTTTATGTGTCTTACGATACGATGTTTCTTTCGACTATCTTGAGAGATGAGTATAGCTACTACAATACAGGTATTTCGATGTTGCAGGATCTTATCAAGTGGTGCAGAGATATTAGTATACGAGATTCAATATAAAAATAAAGAATCAACATATAATACCATGTTTACCAATTGTAAAAGTAGTAGAATTCAATAGAATATATAGAGAGGAAAGAAATTCAAAGCATCACGTGGTATGATAAATGTGAATAGGATACATCTAGAATATATGAATGACAATTCAAATGATATGAATTTGTAGAGAAGAAGAAAATGAAATGTATTCATAGTGCAATATATTCAATTATTGTTAAATCATTATCAGCTTCAGTGATATTATTGTCAATATCTAACAGAATTCAAGGAGTTTTATAAGTGTGGTTGAAGTATGTTTTTGAACAAAAATGAGTTAAATACTATAGTTACTAATTGGAAAATATTATAATCAAGGTTGTATAGGGCTATTATTTTATTAAATTTCTCTAGAAAACACTGTATAAAAACGTCAGAATACTACAAATAAAACTTGTTATAAACTTTAAGTTATAAAAATATAAGATGCACAATTTGTTTACGACTATTGATAGTGAATCAAAATCACTAATCGTACTCGTGAGAAGACGAAGGATGAAACTTGTCGATAATTATAATATTTTGGTAAACTACAATACTTTTTCGCTCATCATAATCGAATACAACAGAACAACAAATTCGACTGATTTGTCATAAAGTATTATCATTGAAATTCTGACCAGTCATATAATGTTGATGTGTTAATTCCATATGGATTTATCCACATGGAACACCTGATTATTTTCTCATCGAACAAAATATTTGTGTGGATTGTATTACTGATATTGGTATTTTTTCATGTATTCTGCAAGTTATTCGTAAAAGTAATGCACAAGACCATCACTTTCGTTCTTATTATCCTTGGTGGTATCATTTGTGCTTCGAAAAAACTTGGTGTTCCATCGCACAATATTAAACGTGTTACTTCAGCTTTTTCGCAGCCTGATTCGTCTTATAATCTTTGTTCGACATGTTTCGCTAGTGGTGACGATTCACTTGACATTTTGCTCAATTTAATTCTTAATGGTAGCACTATTAGTACATGTGGTACATTATGTCAATCTTTGGCTGAAAAAACTAAATCACAACTTCTTGGCACATTCTGCGATTCAGCATGTGATGCTGTTGGAATAGAGAAATTCATTACATTGATTAAACATGCTGATCTTGATGACATATGGTACTGTGAACTTGCTAAAATATGTCCAAGTAATAATATCTTTCTTATATGTTAATCAAAACTAAATAATTTCTCATTATAGTTAAAGATGATGGTGATGCTAAAATCACTACATTCTCAATTTCACCCACTACTGGTCCCAAAAAAACATCGTTTTACATTACTGTTATTTATGTATCTAAGAACGGAATTGGTACCAGTGGATTTGCCATTGATATTTACACTCTCGATCATATTATACTTAGTGGTCGATATTTATTGAAAGCTGCGACAGCTGGTACATACAGTGAAAGACTCGTTGTCACGTCTGACCCTGATCCACAATGCGATCCTCTACAGGGTAAGATTCTTTTAGAAGATTTTTTCTTCAAACATTCATTTTTTTATTTAATTTAATAGAAGAATGTGAAAAATGGTTGCCAGGTATTTACAATGTAACAGTTCAAATTTGTAATGGTGAATGTGGATCAAAAAATCCACACTCATCAATCTATGATACAGCTAAAGGCTCATTTCAAGTCACTAAATAAATCATGGTGGGTTTCTTTTTATTTTGGCAATAAAATTCAGTATTCTGTTTATTGCATACATTATTTTTTTAATCATTGAAATTAAAAATGGAAAGCCGGGTGGCGGGTGTAGGTGTGCGTGTGAACAACAGACAGACATACATCCACACCCACACCCCTCAGGAAATCTTTGCTTTGCTTCATGTTTATATATTAAATATTGGTGAATAATATTATATGATTATCTTTCCATATTAATATATGAATTTAATGCAGTGCTAAAAGCTACTTAAGAATTGATCCTTGAGAAAGGTCAAAAGCATGGTCGTAGTTATTTCTTAATATAATACTCACCCTCACACCCTCAAATTCTGTTTCAATCAGATCAATCAATTTGTTAACAAATCTTTTTCCAATTAATAAACGCTTTTTCGCAACAGAACAGCAAGAAATGGACAATAGAGTAAGATAACGGGTGCACCAGGTGAAATGGACCTCGCAGTATTTGAGCGATATCTTTTTCAATTTTCATTCGATTAGACTAATTTTTTTTTAAAATGCGCCGTCTCAAGGTCTACCAATCTATCGATTTGATATCTAGATTGATGGTACATACAAATTTTCAGAGAATGAAAAGTAAAGACTTTCAAAATATTGTACTTCCAAAGTACCAAAATGGTGATACTCGAACAGAAATCTATCGTGATTTAAATGGTGGTATTGGTTTATCGACAATCAAAAGGTGGTACCAGATGATTCGCCGATCTGGATCTATCCAACTACCAGGTACACATGATAGTCCACGTATAGTCAGGACTAAAGAGAATATTCAAAAGATGGAAAACCGCTTATGCCGAAAAAAAGGAGTATCAGCTCGAAAACTATTGATGGAGCTTAGTGTTTCTGCAACAAATGTCAGACGAATATTAAAAATCGATTTGGAGCTAAAACCCTATAAAAAGTTAATCGAACCATCCTTTTCCGATGATCAAAAGATCAAACGAAAACAGTTCACAAACTGGGTTCGAACAAACTTCCAGAAGGAAGACACCTTGAAAATTCTCTTTTCTGACGAGAAGTTTTTTGACATCGATGGTGTCTATAATGTTCAAAATGATCGAGTGTGGGCAGTAAATCGTGCTGATGCCGATGAAAAAGGTGACACTAAGCAGAAACGAAAGTTTCCACGAAAAGTAATGATGTGACTAGGCGCCTCTTCCAAGAGTATCATACCATTGATGATCTTGGATGAAGAAACTGTCGATCACGATTGTTATATCAAAAAAGTACTTTCCGTAGCCTTAAAATATGTGAATAAAGTTTTTAGTGACGACTGGATCTTTCAGCAAGATGGCGCAAAGCCACACCAACACCATTTAACACAACAATGGTGTCAGGACAAGTTTCCATCATTTATTAACAAGGATCTTTGGTCTTCAAATAGTCTAGATTTAAATCCTTTGGACTATTCAATTTGGGATGAACTTGTCAACGCTATCGATTGGAACAAAGTCAAATCAAAAACAACACTGATTCAACAATTAAAATCATCTGTGAAAAAACTTTGTGAATCACTTGTCTTTGAAATTTGCAATAGTTGGACTAATCGATTGTAACGCGTTTCTCAAAATGATGACAATTATTTACGTTAATAAAAAGAACACCTTTTTGTAGGCCTTGAAACGAGGAATTTTTGCAAAAAAATATTTGGTAAAAAACTTATTATGAATCTCAAAAATATTATGCATCATCATTTATCTTTCTGATAATGTATATTGAATTGTTGCTGTTGTATCTGAGCACCATTCTTGTGGTGTTGAATATTCTGGAGTTGTTTCTGCTGATAATGATATGTTTACTGTCATTCCCAATTGTAAAGTTGACAGACCTGTATCTTTGTTTATTAAAAATCCTAAAAATGGAGCTCGCATTTCTAATTCGTTGCCTTTACTACTCCGTGCATAAGTTATAATGCCATTGAATGGCCCAGGTGCACAATCTTGAGAAAAACAAATATAATGATTATCATATGAAGCAGGTAACTCATATGGTCCATCTAAACATCTTTTGATTTCATCTGGAGTTGGCTTCTGTTTCCAATAAACATATTCGGTGTAATAGTCATAATAGGCAGGACCAAATGTAAACTTATTTTGTATATTCTCTTCTCTTATATGTCTTGTCTCATCAATATTATTAGCAGCATGATCAAGATAATAACCTTGATTATATGAACCATTATAGAATTCAATTTCAACATTTGCATCAAACCCAGGTGCAGTTGGGTAATAACCACCTCCATTTAACCAGTAGCCTGTCGTGTCATTCATATCAATATTAACTGTTGTTATTACATAATACCTTCCAGCTGACGGTTCTGATAGATCATTTCGATTAAATTCACCCGGTCCAACTGAAGTCTTACCAATGACTCCATCATCAACGACACGATAATATATATATAATGATGTATCATCGTGAGCTATTTTAAATTCAATTATATTTACATTTGGATTATAAATATGTTTAGGTATATCAGTTGGTATTCTAGTGTCTGCATCATGACAATCTGGAATTTTTATTGAAGGAAACCATGGACTTGTTTGATAAACTGTACCATTTATATCATCCTTTGGATCATTGTAAGATGGAACATCTAACCAATCATCAAAATTACCATCAATTATTATGTTACGATTTATTGGATCAGGTTTTACAAAATGAATTACAGAATAAATAAGTAGTATTCGATTACGCAAATTCATTTTTATCGTCAGCTACTAGAAGAATGAAATACAGAAAATCACATAAACATGCTTGTATACGAGTAACCGAATTTATCAATGTTAACGTGCACATCAGTTGTTGTCTAACCTGATAAATAATTTTACCTCATGGTCGATTATGTTGATAACACGATATGAAAGGAGTTCACCATTAAGATTACGTGTGTTTATGATAAGAGAAGAACAGGCATAGGTAAAAAATAGTGTAATGATAAGAAATTCCAAGGTAATGATCTTCTTTCTAACCTCACGAAAAAAATTTGTCCTTATCTCTGTTCTCATTGTTAACTTGTATATCTACAACAATTATCTTCATTCTCGAGCATCCTTACTAAGAATCAAAGGACTATTTACTGCTTTAATTGAGATCTTTTAAATCTAGTTTAGGAGTTATAGAAAACAGATGTAGGTGTGGATGTAGAGTGGGGAGAACTGGACGTTGTAGTTGTTCGGAAGGGTGGGGGTGTAGGCATCTATTCGTTCTTTTCACCCACACCCATCCACACCCACACCCACACTCACAGCCATACCCCAGCCACCCACACCCACAACCACATCCTCTTTTACATCTTCCAAGCTCTTTGGAACTGCATTTTAAAATTTGAAATGATCATCGCGCTATGACTAGAATTAACCTTCGAAGAACCTTGAACTTGCGCAGCCATCACTGGAATCTTGTAAAAAGAGCAGTTTTTTCGAAATTTTGCAGGGTGGAGTAATGAATGTTATTTTTCTCGTTATCCTCTTGTTTTTGAACATAGGTTTACACACAGGGTGGGTGTGGGTGTTCCTTTTGTCTTTAATCACATACACCTACACACACTCACACCCATACCCACCCACATCCACACCCACACCCACCCACGTCCACACCCAACCGTACGCACACCCACAGCCACACTCAGAAGATAGCGCTTGAAATTCTTCAAAGCTATGTATGATTAGGCTCAGAAAATGATTTAGATATACTTGAAAAAAGATGAAAAGTAAAGATATACAAAAATTGAAAAATGTAACAGAGTTGAGCATAATGAACGAACTTGTTTGCGTCTAATTTTTTTTATCATTTCGCCCTATTAAAAAATAAAATATACCATAAGATGCAGCGTGAAAAGTTCTAGAATTTGCATAAAGTAGCTTATTTTATAGTCGCGCTTTGTGTTTTCCAAAGTGGACAAAATTTTCAGTGATCAAATTTTGACGTTGCGAAAATGATGTTATTTTTGGTAAAAGGTAAATTCGTTTTTCTCTTATTTGATTTCTTATTGCCTGATATGTTTTATTTAAAAAAAATGAAACAGATCACAAGGTGCAGTGTGAAAAGCTCTGTAATTTACAAAGAAAAAATTATAAACAGATAAAACAAGAAAAAACGAATTCATCGTGTACTAAAAAACAATATCATTTTTACGGGGTCGCAATTTGAGCGCCCAAAGCTTTTTCCACTTTTGAAAACATGAAGTGCGACTATAAAATGATCTACTTCATGAAAATTCTAGAGCTTTTCATGCTGCATCTTGCGGTATACTTTGTTTTTTCAAAAAATTGTATTTAGAGATTAAAAAACGAAGTGCCAACTATAGCCATTTATTCCGTATCACCCATTGTAATATATTAATCTAGTTCACTTCAAACATTCAAAAAAGAATTTAAAATTCAATTCCAAACATTTAGATCACACTGTGTTCTAAATCCAGCGTAAATACGATAATTTTAATATTCAATAAAAAAAGGATAAAGATAAAAGAACAAGATGATAAAAACTAGCTACACAACTGTCAAAAAAACTAAAAACATAATGAGATATATTTTCTTTTCTTTTAATACCATCTAATCTCAATGAAAATTTATCTTTGATGAAAAGGAAACATAGAAGAAGAACGAAAAGCAGTACCAAAGGACACCATTATCGCTAGTCGTCAAAACAAACGTTAGTGTCAATCTCTCTGTCACGATAACATTCTAACGCAATGCACATTGTTTCTTTGTAATTGAGTGTCCATTCGAATCGGTGAATTTTATCTCTGCACACTGACATTTACAGCAATCTGAATCAACATTACATCTACCTTGTACTGGACAACTGTTGCCACTGATTGGTGTAACGTACAGATTACCACAAGAACCATAAAGATCAGTTCGGTTACCTCGATAGCACCCGCATTCTACCGAACCAGGTCGACAACAATCCGAATCTCTTGTGCAATTTTGCACACCACAACAACTACCGGAAGC